AGCCCCCAGAATGAGCGTGGGAAGGTGAAGAGGATGAGACTGGCACCACCCTAAGGAATTCGCAGTGTTTGCTTGCTGACTTGGGAAGTTTAAATTCAGTCTGGTGAGATTGATGTCAGTTTCAGCCCAAAGAACTCCACGAGACAGTACAGATATAGTTCTATAGTGTTTATTAGCTTCCACCTACAAGACAGAATCTCACCAGACTGAATCTAAACTTCCCAAGCTAGCAAGCAAACACTGAGAATTCCTTAGGGTGGTGCCAGTATCATCCTCTTCACCTTCCCACGCTCATTCTGGGGGCTCCCGAGCGCGGCCTTCACCAAACCATTCCATCACAGTTTCTCAATTTTGGGAGCTTGAAGATGTGTGGACTGGGGAATTCTGGGAGCTGAAGTCCACACATCTTCAAGCTCCCAAGATTGAGAAACACTGCTCTATATACACACTGAGGCCATGTTCACATATAGGATTAGGGTCTGAGACTGTCATTGCTCCTCCCTGTGTCCTCTTGACATTGTGTACTGTCTGTGAGGCTTTGAAAAGTGATCTAATTAACTACTGACTCATTTCCTGCTCCAGAGAAAATATTTCTCCTTGTTTCGCTTTCTAGATCCTGGAATTTCCCTCTTCCTTCCTTACCGTCATTCACTCATCTTCTATAGTCGCACCATGCAATCGCTGGTTAGGATTGTTTTTTTAAAAAATTCTTGTCATTGCTGCCAACTTGCTGCCTTTTCTGTCTCCTTCACTGGTCAGCTGGAGGAAGTGCTGGCCAGCTTACAGGGTGGAAGGTGAAAACCTTTGCTGAGTCCATCACAGTGGCACGAAAATGCTGCTTACATTTGGCGGGGGTCAGCTGGTGGCTGTGCAGAAGAGGATAAAAATCCACGAAACTGAGCAGGATTAAATCCTGAGAAGAGGCATTAATAGATTCAGAGGCATCTGGGGCAAGAGGGGTGGGCAGGGTGGAAAAATGACAAAAACAATGTCACGCCATCATGATGCAAGCTCTGCATCTTTTGGGTGTGGTTTGAGACCTTGCACACGTATAGAAAAGGAGATGAGCTTAGATTGTGACGGTGCAACACTGTTTTCATCATTTAAATGACAACCTCCAATCCTGCGGATGCTTCTGCATGGATCACGTTGCCTCTTGTGGAAATTGACGCCGTAGCATAACACTTTTGAACCTGGGATTATGAAAACTCCACTGTTAACGATGTGCTTTACATATCTCTGTATGCAGGTGTGTGTGCTTGAGTTCACGTTTTGCCATAGCAGAGAGCAGTAAATGTTTGCAAGTTTCGTTTGCGAATGTCAGAACCCTCATTACAAATAGGAAGGACGTTTTATGAACAAATGCACGTGTTTTGGGAGAGAAGAGAACAGTGGTACTTTCTCTGGCCACCCCCAAATTGAATACCGTGGGCTCCCATCCTGCTAGTTTTATGTTCCCAACATCTGGGATGCAGTTATTTATTTATTTTTAACCAGTGTTCGTTTTCCAGAACTTTGTTTTGCTTTGTCTTCCTGTTTATTTAAGATGCAGCTGGGCTGTTTTCCTTCCTGATTTTGACTCTGACAACGTGCGTTAGCAGCTTAGTATTCTTTCCATTTTAATTAGCTTTTAACAACAATAACAGGATCTATGTAGGATCTGCTTTCACGCGTGAGGCAGTGCGCTGACAGTTTTCCTAATACCATTGCAACTTAGAAGGCGCGTGACGAGCACAACAAGGCAGTGTCTGCTTTGTTTAGAATATGAGTGTGAGATGCACACAGTCATTGTGGAGAAGAGGGAGGTGCTAAGAAAGGTCATGCGTTTTGTATGACTAATAGCTCTGTAATTGCAAACTCCAGCTTGGGTTTTTAAATCTGGTTTTCTCTTTTGAATTGTTCTTTGTTCCTTTAAATTTAATACAGTCTTCTTTAAGAAAGGAAAAGGGGAAAAAATCCTTCCAGTTCACCAGTATCTTCCCGAGGCAATGAGCTCGGGAGCACTGCTGTCAATGTGGGGGTCCTGATGGAATGCTGTGTTTTGTGTTCTTCTTTTGGACGACTGGAGGGAGTATTTATTGGGCCTTGAGGTTCTAAGTATTTTGAGGGTCAGCAACAGTGAAGACAACCATGGTTGGCTTCACGCTTCTTTTCAGGAATGAAGAGAATGGGAACTCTAGTGGGAAGCAGATGCCCTCAGTCTCACCAAACAGTCCCTCAGGTGAGAACTCAGTCTAACCACTGAATATGAGACCCTGATCCTCTGCCTTGGATGTTGGCCCCGGTTTAGCTCTGACAATGTGCCTTTCTCTGTTGTGTATAATGATTTGAGCTGCCTTGAATCTTGAACTCTTCTGGACTTTGATAGGTTGCCCTTTTCTGATCCCTTCCATTCTGCTTTCCTCCTCTGAGTTGTCACTTCTGTCTGCTCTGGATCCTGCACTCCCTGTCCCCCTTTTTCCAAATCTAACTTCAGACCCCGGAGTCTGACTCTATCAGGGCTGGTCCCAATTCAGTTGTACAAATTCCAAAAACTAATTTCTCTATGGATATATTTACTTGGATGGGGAATTTATTACTAACAGTTATTGTTTTGAAATCATAGTTATCAGATGAACGCTAGTAAAACCAACTCATGCATATGTGCACCATATACAAGGGGACAGAAAAATAATACAACAAATATATTTATGTACATGTTATATAATATTGACAAGCCATGTGCAATTACAGGTATGTATCTATCTCAACCCAGACCTGGGCTCCCTACCACCTCCTGGGTTGCTGTCAGGCTAAGGGCCAGCTTCCAATATTAACTTTATTTCCAAGAATGACTCTGGGCCCCAACTGGACCTTGTAAGATTAATGCATGGCTACTTTCCTCTGCATTGTTTATAAGGGTTTCTCTGTCTGCCCAGAAAAAGGACAAAGGTAAGACATTGAGGTAGGGAGACAGTGGAAAGTAGCATTCTGGCAAATCAGTGTTTTGTAACTGGATGGTAGCTATTCTGCAAATTGTGATTTCCCCATACCCCCACAATATGTTCCCAAAATTCAAAATATTTATTTATTTATTTATTCATTCATTCATTCATTCATTCATTCATTCATTCATTCATTCATTCATTTATTGGATTTGTATACCGCCCATCTCCCCCGACGGGTGACTCTATATTCCTATTAGGAACCTCTGATCTGGATAAGGTTTGGGGGCAGACAATTGTAACTAAGCGTGCTTCCACAAAAATACCTTTTTTCAGCATCATCTTGTGTTTCTATGCATTCTTTCAGATAAAATATTGTGCCTTCAAACTGAATGCAGAAAGCAGGGATTTTGAACATTCAGTTCAAAGGACAATCTCTACATAAGAAAATGATGTAAGAATGAAGAACGTGAGGCTCCCAGATAAAAGAATCAAAGCAAAACATTAAATAGTAGTTACCAATCAGTTGGCGTTGCAACAAATGCAATACCGAATGCGCAACAGAATCTAACAACAATGTAAAGACAAAACAGAATAAAGAATAAAGAAATAACAGAGTGCTGCCTTTTTCAGGATAGTATTAAATATTCCTCTAAACCAATGTTTCTCAACCTTGGCAACTTTAAGATGTGTGGACTTCAACTCCCAGAATTCCTTAGCCAGCATGGGTGGCTGGGGAATTCTGGGAGTTGAAGTCCACACATCTTAAAGTTGCCAAGGTCGAGAAACACTGCTCTAAACACCCAGTACAGGAGTGTCCTTCTAACCTAGAACCCAGTGAACATCTTTTCAGCCTCCCAAATTCACCTACAGCTGACTCAGGAGCCCTCGAAGCATAGCAGTCATGCCAATCCAGCATTGACATCATGTGTTCCCACAGCACTGTTCTTCTGGGGCTCAGCTTCTGTGCAGCTCAAATCTGAATCTGGTTCGTGATCTGCTGTGCCCGAGCTCTGTGGAGTTTTAGGGTGGGCTGTTTTTCTCTACATGGAATTCTTGCCTCTCCTCCTTTCCCCTTTGCTTGAACCTGGCGTTCTTTAGGATAGGGGTCCTCAAATTAACATCCTTTGTGTGTTAAATCCCACCCTATCACAGAACCTGGTTTTGAGCCGTACCTGGAAGGAGGGGCGAGGGGGGGTCAGTTTGACAAAAGCAGGGCCATGACATCATGACGTAAGTCCCGCCTCTTCTCTATGTGTATGGCAAGGGTCTGTGAACACCCAAAAGGTGTGGAGCAGTGAGATCCTGCAGACGCCACTGTTGGTTCCTATCAACATATAAAGAAAAATCCAGTTTTTCAGCCTCCTGTTATTAGTTGCTGTAAGTTCTAAAGACATTAAAAAGCATGAATACAATAATTTTTTCTCCTGTAAGTTCAAAATCAAAAGTGGACGCTAAGGAAGGCAGAAGCAGTGTTTGTCACTGTGAGAGTAATTTTCCCCTAAGCCCAAATCAAAAATAATGGGAGAATGAGCTAACTAGTGCAAAGGGTTATTTGATCTTTCTCCTTAGCCCAAACCTTTCAGAGGTTGCTCCAGTCCTGAATTTTCAGGACTGCTAAGATCATCCCACTTAACTACAGCCTGGTTGTTTTGCTCTTTTTCTGTAGACTTTCTCTTTCTCTTGTAGGCTGTTTCTCAATGTGGGGAGGAGAACTGCATCCCACATTGACTGCTTCTGCATGCCACCATTGATATGTGTCCTACTGGTTGAGAAACCCTGATCTAGGAGATTTCACAACCGTATCAGTGAACCCAACCTTAATTCTCCTAGTAAGTTTCACAATACCTCTAAAAAACTGCCCCACCATATCTTTCCAGCTCATTTAAGCAGTTTCCATGGAAGGCCTGGCAGCACACTGCAATAATATGCTGTCGTCACAACTTTCAGTGGGAATTTATATGCAGAAAAATGCATATTAAAGGAGCTTTCCCTAATACCAGTAGTTTAGGGCTTTTTTGCAAAATGGCCCGACAAGAAAAGCACAGAGTGTGTATGGAAAACATGCAGGTGGGCTTAGCAATTTGTTTTTCCCCTTTCTGTGTGGATCAGGGGCAAGGGGTTTTTGTTGCTCCAGGAACTGCTGTAGCTCAGGGCCCAGGGCCAGAATGAATGGCATTTTTTTGCACTCACCTTTTGGTTAGCTTGAGGGATTGGCTTAAGGTGTTCCTGCCTGTTCTCAGAGTTCCAAGGAGTGCCAACAATCACAGATCTGTCTTCCAAATTTGTTGTGGGGCGGGGGGAGGATTGGATTGGGAAGTAGAATTGGTGCTGTGCAGAAGCGCTGTAAAATTGAGGTAGTTTACTCAAGCACTCTGCAGCCCATCACCGTGAGATACCTAGCTATGCAGAGTATTATTTTATGCATATGATCCTTGTAAACAGCTGCATTCCAGGTGCCACCTCCCTCCTGTCTCAGAGGTTGCACACAGAAATAGATGAGCTTATGAGGCATAATTGTTAAATCTGAGCCAACTGCAGGATGTAAGAATATTGCTTGCACAGGAAAAGAGAAAACTGTTCCCGTAGGTGGATCTTAGTTTTGGCCAGGTTATGACAACTCCATGGTAGCCGGATGCAGTGTTTAGTACACTCTATTAATTGCTTTTAGTGTTATGATGTAGGATGTAGTAGCTGTCGACAAGCCCCAGATTCAGATCTAAGATCAACCACGTGCTCACTGCTTAGCCTTAGGCAAGGTGCCCCCATTCAGCTTTCACCAGCCCTCTATAATCATTAGGGTGGTGCAGCAGTCCACATTCAAAGGTCTACACTGAGTTTTGAATATACATAGCACTTGTGGCAAACACCTTTTCCTAGAAATTCCTAGATTTTGCTAAAATTGGTATGAATCTAATAAATAATGATAAATAGGGTGTGTGAGAGCAAGAATACTGGTGGTATTGTTATTTATTTGTTTGTTTGTTTTTCAAATTTATATACACCACCCATCTCACTATACAAGTGACTCTAGGTGGCATTACAAGTAAAAAAACTATAAAATCTTAGTAAAAATGTATAGGTTAAAAACTACAAAAGATACAGTTAAAACTAAAAAGTTAAAAGTATAGTGCAACTAAAAAGGCGGAGAGAGCATCCTCAGGTTACCAACTACCCCCAGTGCTGCAAACCCCCGTGGAACCCCATGCAAGTTAGCAGAGCCAGGTTGTACACTAGTGGGAGGTGGGATAGATCTAAAAATGGGAGGAACTCCTTTCTCCATTTTTATGATAACCCAGCAGGCTATCAAGAGAGGTGTAGCAGTACAGCTGAGCCTATAACACGGGAGGATGGAGATCTCAAATCTTCTCTCCTAGGATCCTCATATCCTGACCCCACCTCCTGCTATATGTAGTGGCTGGGCAGTTCCCATTAATACTATCTACCTTCCAAGCAATACCTTATTGACATCCTCCCAGTCACCACCTATGCTGTCTTGCTGGCAATAGCAATCAGGAAAAAATTAAATAAATTCTATAATACAACCTCCTGCTAGAGGGTAGAGGGAATGGCCTTGAGGGATAGGAGGAAGAGACGCTACCAAGGCAATGGTCAGATAAAAGAGGTCTGAGTTTGGAGCAAGAATATAGTGTGAGTAAATATCTCAGACAAGCCCATTCTTAGTTCTCAAGAACATAAACGGAGAGAGGGGGTAGGTGTATTCAGTTTTGCAAGATTCTGTTACTATAGCTTTACAGTAAAGGTGTATTGACCTACATGATGTTAGTTTCCTAGTCTGATCTACCTTGAAGGGCTGAGACTGGCTTTGTAGTGTAGAGGCAGGAGACTAGGAATTTCAGCCCTTCTTTCTTCCATTTGGAAAATAGACTAATCTCACAAGAGATAAACAGAATATTACTTTATTGACAAGAGGTCAAGATAAGATAATAAGGTACAGGTAGTCCTTGTTTAATGACCACTCATTCAGCAACCATTCAAAGTTGCGACAGCACTGAATGAGGAGGACTCAAGTCTGGTCCTTGTAGTTGTGGCCATTGCAGCATCCCATGATCATATAATTGCAATTCAGGCGCTTGGCAACCAGCATGCAATTACAATGTCACAGTGTCCTGTGGTCACATGACATTCACTGCCGGCTTCCGACAAGCAAAGTCAATGGGGAAGCTGGCAGGAGGTCACAAATGACAATCATGTGAACATGGGCTGCTGTGACCGTGTGGTATTTACCTAACGACAGCAACTGAGACTGGCAGAATTGCTGTGTAACTTGGTGTGGTCATGTGATATTGCATTTTACGACCGTGTCGCTTAGCAACAGAGTTCCCAGTCCCAATTACCATTGATAAGTGAGGACTACCTGTATACAAAGCTCTGTCTGCTATAAAAACGCTATTTCCTTGACCAAAAAAGAAGTTTGCTGGATGAAGTTCTGTGCTCTCCAGCAGACAAAGCAGAAATGGCCCAGAGGCTTACAGTCAGATAGGACAATTCACTTTTTTCCAGAAGCTCAAGGAGGCTTACAAGGGAAGAGGATTCCATTGAACTTCCATAATGGTAACCAAAGGTTGGTCTGAAAGAGTTTTGGTGCCAAAGTCACCTGTGAGTTTCTATAGCTGAGAATGGAGTTGACCATAGGTTTCCCTGGTTCTAATCTAATTAGGCATATTTGGTTGATCACAAGCCCTTTAAAATGAATTAGTTTAAGAGATATTGACTGAGGTCACAGATTGCACTAAACCATTATGTGGATTGCTCATTAAACATCATTGGAAGGTAGGAAAGTGTTTTAAGTTTTGACCCAGAACCACATGAGAAACTAATGCTGAAGAATCCAAATTTGAAGATAGAGAGGCAGATCTTCTATTTGGATGTCTGGGCCAAACAAGGGATAAATATCTTAAGTCAGTTGATTTTTAATAGTTGTTTTAAATATTTTGAGAGATTGCCTTCTGAATATGATTTACCCATAACATCTACTTGGCAGTATATATCATTGAAACATGTACTGACAAAGCAGCATGGCCCAGATGCTTTTAGTAGCTTCAGAAGTACCTGGAGTCTTGAGATGCTTAAGAGGTGCAGCGCTTAAAGTGAAGCCAACAATTCAGTTTTATATGGAATTTAAAAAATAGAAGGAAGGTTAGCTGTAGTTACATATCTGTACTGTGGAACAAAGAATTGGAATATCCAATCTTGGAAAAATCAAAGGGTCTAGGTTTTAAAAAATGTAAAACATACTTCTTAGGATTTAAGAATTAAGGTAATTCAGCAGAACGTATTATTTTATGTCTACTGGATTCCTCAAATAATGTTTTTAAAAGGTTGGACATCAGATTTTTTAAATGTTGGCACTGTAAGTATTTTTCAACATCATTTTGGAAAGAAATGGGATGTAAATGAGTTGTTTATTTATATTCCTAAAATAGGGAATTTGTTGTTTTATGAAGACTTTTGGCTGTACCCTAAGCCTAGGGCTTGGCAAACTTACATAAATTGAATAAAACTTATCATCTTGATATTAAGGAATGGATTCAATATATGTTACCTATTTTTTAAAAGCCTTTTTATTCTGAAAATGAGAAGTTGAACAAATATATTTCTATATGGTCTAGATTTAATGATAAATTTAAGGATTGAATTAATCCCATACCAACATTAAATGGATATTACATATTTGGATCTTTTTTAATTAACTCTTTTTATGTTCTGTTCTGGTACATTTAGTTTATTTTCATCATTATGCTGCATATAGGGTTTATGTAACTAAATAGCCACTATTGTACCCTTTTTTGTTGATGGTGCCCTTGTTTGTGTTTCACTATTTTATTATAATTTTTTTTTTTTGCTTAAAAATATCTAAATTTCATAACCTAAAGTTGAGCTTAATTCAGCAGAGGCTTTACCTTTAATACTGATTGCAATTCTGTTCTGACTTTTCTTTCTCCCACTGTTCCAGTCTCCATGGGGGCTTGTCAGGGGAACTTCAGTGATCTCTCTGGCGTGATCTACTCTCCGCAGTTCCCAGATGACTACGAAGCCAACAGCAACTGCAGCTGGGTCCTTTACCCTGCAGGTTGTGATTCTGTAGAGCTCAGCTTCCGGATCTTTGATGTGCATGATCCAAACGACCGCCTGGAGGTGCGGGATGGACACAGTGACCTCTTACTGGCCCAGTTTGATGGGCGCCGAAGGCCAGGAGCACCTCTGCTCTTCCCCACGGACTACCTTTTCCTCTCCTTCCAATCAGACCAGTTTCTGCAAGCCCAAGGCTTTGCCATCTTGTATCGAGGTACTCACTGAATTTTGGCTTCCTTGATTGGTGCTGTTACCTCACTAAAATGTTAGAGGAAAGTTCTAAACCTTATTGTGATGTTCCACAGGAGCTTTCTCTCTCTCTCCGCTTCTGTCTCCCGAGTGGGCTCGCTTACAGAGGGAGACACTCAGCAAGATGAATAAGGTCAACTTTTCAGGCAATATAATGACAGATGCCAGCTGTCTTTGACCTGCAAGGTGGTGGATAAATGCTTGTACTAGAAGCATCTTACCCTTGTACTCTGGGCTCAATCCAATGCCTGTAATCTCTTTCCCTGGGGCTCAGTTTCTCTAATTAGTAGATCCTGGATCCAAATGTGTAAGAAAAGGAGTATAGATGTTCTCTCTTGGAACATCTTTCAGGATCCCTTGAGAAACCTATTACCCATGCTTACTGCTATCTGGCCAAAGCACCTTTAATATGAAAAACGCACCTTCCCATATCCCCAAAGGGTTAATTATAGGCCAGTTTCTCTTGACATCCCTTTGAATCTTTCTGTAGCCCCAGACCAGTAATCTGGCTGTGTCACCAGAGATCTCTTTAACAGAGCTGAATTTGCGAGACTGGGAGGCACCATTGTTCCAGGCTCCCACAAGGTTCAGTTCAATCTTTGAAATGATTGGTTGGATCAGTACTTTTCATTTGGGTGGTATGTTAAAATATAACTCCACGTATTCCCATTTATGAGGTCACTGATTTCAACGGGGAAGAGAAGCGAAAGGAGAAAAAATACATTGGTATACCATGCATTGAGAAAAAAGGGTCAGGTGAACATTTTGCTTTTGAGCTTCCCAGAATCTTAAAGAGACCTTGATCTGTCTCCTTTTGCATGTGAAGTTTTTGTTTGGTTGGCTGATTTAAATTCTTGTATTTTATCCAGCCTTCCTCTAAAGCCGCAGTCCACCACTTCCACTGACTGAAAAATGGGTCTCAAAAGAGTTGCTAATGAACTGCATTTGTTGCATCTGCACAACTTGCCTCTACTACAACTCTCATCATGGCTACACACACACACACACACACACACACACACAGAGCCAATGCAATAGTATATGGTAATGAAAGGCTAAATTTTAATAAATAATTGTTCTAACTGTGCCAGGGTTACATTCAGAACAACTGTATGTTCATGCCAAATCAATGTGGCAAAATTGGTGAGGCTGGTGTTACTATTTATCATATCAGGAAAGTTGGGAGAAACAAGTTTGAGAGTTTAGTAAGAAGTTATGTTGAAAATCCACTGTAAAATCCTTCAAGATTCTGATTTCCATCCAGGAGTGAAAGCTTCCTCGGTCAACTTACGGACCCTTCCAGGTGATGGATCCCGTCTGGTCCCAACCTCTTCTGATTGGCTGAACTCCACCTGGACCTACAGTTCCAATGACTCTGCCATTGGGGTAGGAGGTAAAGGACTAGACCTGGGGTGGGTTTATTCCATGAAGCTGTCAAATGTTGTAGCTTGACTGGTTGGCTCTAGGCAAAACAGATTCTTTGACACTGTAGTTTTGCCCTGGACCAAAGAGACTATGGAGCCAGCTGTATATTGCATTCTGGTTACGCTTGCTGAGGAAACCAGGGTATCATTAAAAAAAAAAAAAAATTGGAAGAGGAGAATTCAGAGCAGAGAATACCATTTGCAAGAAGAAATGTACTTAATCCTTTTTTTCATCTACTATTTCTTTCTTCTAAGTCTAGGGTGGGCCTGGGCATGCATCCCCAGCTTCAATTTTTTAGGAGAATCCCCAGATCACAGTGCTTAAAATTGCCCCATAACCTTCTGCCTGGTTTTGGTCCCAAAATATATATATTAGATGAGGCATATCATGCACCTCTTTTGCATTTTTTAAATCCTTCCAGACCTGAAAAAATATAAAGGGGGTTTCAGTCTCATCTCTGGTGATAGTATACAGTCCTTGTTATATATACCTCCTCTATCCTTCAGGAGCAGAAAGAAAATTAAGGGCTGTCTACAGCTAAAAATGTTGCCTGTGCATCTTCTAAGTAGAACAGTTTTTCAGCATCTTCTCCCACAGACATAATATTCAGGTGGATATTTTCAAGGGTAATAATTTGGAATAGAGCAATAGGTATGGATGGAAAGCAATTCCCCAACCTGCTGCCCTCATTTATTCTTTGCAGAATTTCTCTTTCCCAGAAACAGTTTCTGACTGAAACAAAGAAACAACCACCAGGATGCTCTAAAACATATTCTAAAATGATCTAAAACGTATTTTTCAAATGGATAATAGGGACATTGAAGGCACGGGATCTTTTCACATTTCTATACAAACTGTTCTTTGTTCTGCAGATTATGAATTGAAACAGGGCTGTCCATTTCCTGATTGCCACGCATTTGGAATGTGTATTTTTGAAATGAATTTATAAAGGGATATTTGAAAGAAAATATGTCTTTAAGTATCTAGTGCTCTGTAAAATTGGATGCAGGTTAAGCAAAAAAAATGCAGAAATGGGATGCAGTGGTTGTAAACAGGTAATATTATCATCGAGAAGAAACAGATTGATATGCACACCTTTAATGTGTAGCTCAGCTTTTCCTAATGTGGGCTCTCCAGATGTGCTGGCACTGCAACTCATAATTCCTAGACAGCCTGGTCAACTTGAGGAAGGATGAAACTGGGGTATCACAGTCTTGCAATCAACCACTAGAGGTTACCTCTTCCTCTCATTCTGATATCATACTCTTTGTACTCCAAACTGGGTGAATGAACACAAAGGATCCTAGCAGATGACCCCTTATTTGGAACAAGACTTTGAATCTCATGTATGGAAAAGGAACAAAAGCAAGATAAATCAGAACCCTATGCCAGAAAACTGGGCATTGTGATCCATACAGTATGACAGTTAGCCAGTTTGTAGATATATACTTATTTAGCACATCTTTTTCTGCTGTCCTTATGGGAATGGGAAAGGTGGTTTTGAAAACTCCCTTTTTGGCTTCTGTTCAGCCTCTGCCTTACCGACTTCAGTTTTGCTAGGTATTGCTCCGCCAGTTTCAAATCTATTTGTTAAGCCAGAGGGACTAAGAAGAGCGCACAAAGCTGAAGCCAAATTTCTCAGCTTGGCATATGTAGTTCCATGACGCAGTCAAAGAAGAATAGAATGCACATTGTCAATAGAAGGGGGCCTTCCTTTGCCTACATATCTGGTTGACTTGTGTTCATGCAAACCTGCGTGTGTATATATACATACCATACACAGAAGTATACTGACTCACACACATTTTCATGGCGAGTATCTCCACTTTTGATGTTTGTGCCATGTTCCTAAGAACATGGACATCAATAAATCATTCCTCTTGTTTGTCAGGCTATCTAAGACTTTATATAATTGGTTGCCATCTTCTAACCTTCTGTCTCCTCCAGAGTAATGAGGCTGTTTTGCTGCTCTGTGTTCCCTACACCATCTGGAAGATGTTGGTATTATTCAGTATATTAAATATGGCACCACCTAGTGGCAGAGGCTTTGCAATTATAGAGAGGCTTGAAAGGGGCTTTAAAACCATCCCAGTTAGGCCAAAGTGAACATGGCTTGGAGTTCTATGATCCCTTCTTAATTTTTTAGTGGCAGGCAATTATGGCACTTGAAGTCCAATATGTATGGAGGGCACCAGGTTGAGGAAGGCTGTAGTAGTGTTTGGCATGATGGTTGATTAACTCCTTGCTTAATACTTCAACATTCGTTGAACACCCATTGATCTCTTCTGTCTTTGTAACACAGCTTGGGTGATGTATACGGCCACAGGGACCTTCATCTTAGCCATCATCCTTGTCTCGTATCATTTGCGCAAGAGGTAGGTTCAAGCTGACTGGGAGATGTTGTGTACTGTTCTAATTTCTTGGAGGCTTGGAAGTCCAGGGACTGATCAGTGCTGGATACAAGGAGCCGTAACTTCCCTTCCTTTTTTGCAAGATGAGAGAATAAATTTGGGGGAAAAGTTGGTTCAGGCCAAGAGAGTGGAAAGGTGTGCGGAGGCTCTCTGGGAACAGGCAAACTCCCTGAGCCTCATGGAAGAAGAGTTGTCATCAAGCAGAGGCAAGCAATAATGACTAGAGTCATTCATAGAGGAGAGAGAGAGAGAGAACAACATCACAGAATAACCATTAGCAGCATGGACACCCATGGACACAGGGGTGGTGAAGGGACCATTTGTGTGATCAAGTATATATGATCATTTGGGAGTCATCAGTTTGTTTACAGACACCACTGGCTATCAAGAAAGTTGTTTCATATATATGGAAAAAAGGGGTAGTGCATTGGTGGCCTCCAGGTATTGCTAAACTACAATTCTTAGTAGATCAGGCAGCATGGCCAGCGGTTATAATTCAGCAACATTTGAAGGGTCATATATTCCATATTGCAGTTTTAAAAGAAAGACTAAATTTTACACTGTGCTGTATTCTAAAATAATAATGTGGAGATGTCAGAAGCTAATAGGCACACTGGGTTTTGCCCCTTTAGACTTACACTAGGAAATGTTTCTGTGTGATACATTCATGTAAGTTACTCTGGAATCTTGTTGATGCTGTTGCTATAGGTGTGTCCAATCCAAATTTAGTCTTTCAAGAACAAATTTTTAGCTGTGCAATCATGTTGCCTCCTTCATGGAGTTTTATGCATGTAAACATGATTGCTTCTTTTTGTAATCTTCCAATATTTTCTCACTGCTGCTGTCATTTTCTGATTATGCCTACCAAAAACGAACATAATACAACAAAAGCCTTGCTAAGGAGAAAAGGACTGAACAACTGCACAATATATTTGATTGATAGAATTTGGAGCCCTCCGTTTAGAAGCATTCTTTGTCAATTAGAGCAGAAATGTGCAAATCAATTGGTTCCACTGATTTAATTTAGCTTCATCTAAATCGGGTCCATTATCCTCCTCCTCCTCCTGGTATATATTGTCCTGATTACAGATTTGTATTTATGGCTTGGCCTGATGGGAGTGGTAGTCCAAGCATTATGGGGAAGCCTGTGTTAAAGTGTGAATGGTATGCCTCTAATGATGGGCAACCAACGTATTCCCAGGACCTTTCCCCGTTACTGTCCACCCGTTCTTCCTTGAGTCAGCACATAGCAGTGCCAACATTAACTGCCCCCAGGGCCATTCCCTCAACTGCCTCTGCAATCTACTGTCTTGACTGCATCTGTCCAAAGCCACATTTTGATTTGTGAATGGGGCAATTGTTACAGGCAAGGTGATAGGCTTTCTCCATTTGTTGCCCTCCCCTTTGAATATGTGACCAAGGGGCTGGGAGATCACCTAGCAAGATGGTGGGTGCAGCAGTGCAAACGAACCCCATCCCTTTGTACGCATGTGTACAAAAGTGGGGAAGCTTTGATTGTGAGGCCACAACGGCCATCTTGCCTCTTTTGACCCTCCCCTGCAGAAGCTGTGTGCAAGATTCAGCTTGTCTTCTGTAGGCTGGGTTCTTTTGCCCCACTCCATTTGGGCATCTCCCAAGTTAAAATAATGGGAAATGAATGAATGAATGAATGAATGAATGAATGAGAAAGACAGACAGACAGACAGACAGACAGACAGACAAACAGAGACAGACACCAAGACAGAAATTGTCTCAG